TCTTTAGCAACTTTGTTGCGAGAGTATAAAAATTAGGGTTTTTTTCTATTTTAATTCGAAATAATGTTTCCTCCTTAATATTTGAAATAAAAAAACGGTGTATTGGAGACATAAGAAGGCAACAAATTTCTCTGAACATTTTTTGTACAAGACAAAACAAAAAAAAAATTTTAATTATACCCTGAACAGAGTATATTAAGTTTGTCACGAAGTTTGTAACACGCAGAAGGAAGCGTCGGAGACTCCATAAAATATATATAGTACATATATAAATGATCAGTATGTTGAGCTGTCTGTCTGTATATATACAAACTACTCCCTCAGTTTTTAAGATATCCTTTTGAAGTTTTGCTTACGTCATTTTCTCTTCAAGAAGCTGCTCATTTGTCGGAACTGCCGATATCGGACCACTATATCATACAGCTGCCATACAAACTGAACGATCGGAATCAAGTTCTTGTATGGAAAACATTCACATTTGACAATGTATTTTCATAAAAGTTGGCACAGGTTATTTTCAAAGCAACAATGTTATCTACGAGAAAATTGTTCAGATCGGATTACTATAGCATATAGCTTCCATGCAAACTGAACACTTAGTTACTAAAAGAAATGCACCTGTGAAGGGTATACTAGCTTCGGTGTAGCCGAAGCTAACGATTTTTCTAATTTTATTTTGAGATTAAATCAAAAAAAAGTTATATATATAAAAGTTAAAAATCTTTTCTTTACCTACACTTTGTTAAATAATTTTTAGCTATAGGACTTGTACATAGTTTTTAATCTTTAAAAATTCAACCAAGCTCCTCCCCTTCCTCTCTCCGACACCAGATCGCTCGTAAATTATTTTTTCTTTGATTTTGTTAGTTTATATTTCGTTTTCAATGAGTTTCGTTAAAATATGAAAATGTTTCACTTTTTACCATTACCAAAGGCTTCAGCGCTGGTCTACAATCTTTACACTAATATAAATTACTTACAATTAATACAATTACAATTCTATGGCCAGTTGCTTGAATTTGATTTTTCTGTATACTAGTATAACAAGGGATGGTAGTAGGGGAAAAGGGCCAAATTGAAATTTCGAAGGAAAATGATCTTTCTAACAGAGCAATCAGCCGGCAAAACAAAAGGTCAGAGAAAGTTTTTGAGATTAGAAGATAAATATGGCATATCCAATAGAACCAAGGAGAAATATGAAAATAACTCGCGGGCAAGTTAACATTAGATTAAAGAAGAAGCTTAAAGAAGAACTACTAACCGGTTGAGCGCCTCTAAA